CAAGGGTTTTGACGGTGCCCAAAAGGCGTCTTACCAATAAACCTTATTATTATCTTCATGGTCACACCTGAACGGTGTATTGATCGACGAGCTCACGGATTGTGAGGTTGGCATACTTATTGGAAATTATTTTGTGGAAGCTCATTAGGTACTTGACCGATGCCTAGGTGGAAAAAGGGAACCTTTTGACGTGAAAACTGCTTGGCTGGATGTTGCTTGGATATTCACGTGACAGATTAGAAGATTAACCTATCTGTCACCCTATGGTTAACCAAGAGAGGGAGGTGACGGAAAACATCAAACACATTAAACACAAAAACGACTCTGAGTTTTTGGACACGTCGGCAACGATCGAGAGTTATTGGTTGGAGGATGAGCGGGCTCTGGCTATGGCACGTTCGTCCATTATGCACATAAAGGAGCATTTTCAACTGTAACTTCCTTGGAGAAATGGTACGTAGAAGTTCCCGGAAACGTATTCTTTAGCGCGGAAACGACTGCTCCATCTAAAGGGTAAGTTGGGTCAACAGCCTGAATTACGTAAAAATACGAGCAAACATTCAGTTCCTACAGGAAAAAGGGATACATCGAGCGAACTGAGAGTAACAAAACGTTTTGGTACTAAGACGCTGGTATTTACCTCATCATCCGGTTGTAAACCGCCAAAAACCAGACAAAATCCGCACTGTATTTGACTGTGCTGCAAAGGGCCACAGTGTGTCTCTAAACGATCGCCTCTACCAAGAGCCGGATCTAAACGCAAAATTAGTAAGCGTGTCGTTGGGTTCGCGGGGGACGTGCAATTGTGCGTTCTTGCCAAAGTGGTTGCGCGGGCCAGACTTTTTAGTTCGACCGGAGAGTGAATGGCCTGCACAACCTTCACTGGTACAGCCCGAAGATTTTGAATTTAAAAGAACGACAGCTCAAGTTCATGTCTTAAGTAAATGTGGAAGTTTGTATAAGCTGGTTAACCGTTTTTCAAGTTGGACCAGGTTACAAAGGGCCGTGGTCTGGCTCCTGCGTTTCAAGCAGTATATTATAGTTTCCGCTGGCAAGGCTCCTGAGGAGACATTGGTGAGGGGCAATATTCGAGTCACGGAGGTGCGTCAGGCTACGGATGGTTCGAAAAAGTACGTACAGTGTCAGGGCTTTACTCAAGAATTAATTATTTTCCAATCTACTCAAATGGATATTGATGGTAGAAGAAAAGCCGTTAGATCTAGTGGTTTGACGCGCTTGTGTCCCGTTTTAATTAATGGTACAATGCGCGTGGGGGGTTGCTTAAACTACTCGAGTTACCATGAGTCGTTTAAACATCCTGTGATTCTTCCAAACCGTCATCCTGTGACAGATTTAATAATCAACAATTTCCACGAACTAGAAGGGCACTGTGGGAGGGCAGAAGTATTGGGGGCTATCCGTCCAAAGTTTTGGATCGTGAAGGGAAGCGTTTCAGTTAAGCGTGTTATTGGTGCATGTTTATCGTGCTGGTGTAAATTTAGGCCACCTCAAGGACAGATTATGGCCCCTCTTCCCCTACAGAGAACAGAAGTGGGATGGTACCCTTTCAAGTGTGTTGGGGTAGACTATTTCGGACCTTTTATGACTAAGCGTGGGTGGTCTTATGAAAAACGCTATGGTTGTCTGATTAGTTGCTTACAGATCAGAGCCGTCCACCTTGAGATGGCTTTCTGTCTTTCTACTGATTCCTTTCTCCAGTGCGTAATGAGGTTCGTTAATAAACGAGGAAAGCCGACTGACATCTATAGTGACAATGGAACCAACTTTGTTGAATCAGTTAGGGAGCTCAGAAGTGATTTAAAAAGGTGGGATCAAAGGGTGATATCAGATTAGTTACTGCCCTCTGAAATACAATGGCATATAAATCCACCCGCAGCTAGCCATCGCGGAGGAGTATGGGAACGTGTGATCGGGTCAGTACGACGAATCCTCATTTCACCGTGTAACGAGCAATGCGTAAACGACGAGCGTCTATACACCCTCTTTGTACAGGCGGACCGCATATTAAACAACAGACCGCTGATTCCACCTGCTTCACATAGTAATGATCTTGAACCGCTTACACCTAACAGTTTGGTATTAATTCGAAATAGTTTGGAGCTGCCCCGTACTGACACTTTGGTTACGCAATATCATGCGGGATGGAAACAAGTACACTATTTTGCGGGCGTCTTTTGGTGACGCTGGACCAAGGAATACCTTCCTACACTAAAACAACGTACTGAGTGGCTTCGTGAGTCCCGAGAGCTGAAAGTAGGTGACGTGATCCTAGTGTCTGAGGAGCACATACCTCGTGGAAAATAGCCACTAGGAGTGATTGATAGTTGCGAAGAGAGTCTTGATGGTTTAGTTAGGACAGTACAAGTGAGAACGGCTGGCGGCGTCTTGAAGAGAGATGTTCGTAATATTTGCTACAGTAAGAGGGAAGTAGTGGACGTGGTGCTAGTGACACGAGCAGATATAAAACTATTTTTCACTAGCCACTAGTTATGTTCTTTACATGGGCTGAGTGTAGGTGAATTTACAGAGCCGACGTGGACGGTACGTGGAGAATTGGCGGGCGGTGTTATTTTCGGCTGGACAAGTTTGGAATTCTCCACACCTAAATAAATAAATTGTATATTTAAGGCCCAAGGGGCCATTTCATTACAAACTTAGTGCTATCGTGAAAATAAGAAAATAAAAATAGTTCCGATTAGCAATGAACTCTTATAAAATAATTATCTGGGCAGTAAAAAAAACTCCTAAATCGGTGGGTGAGTTCAGCGAGCCACCGATTTCCAAAAAATGTAGGAGGAACAACTGCCTTAATAGGAAGCATGCTATGACATGGTGCAGTTAGATGGGATACTGCTGTTGAGGGTTCGGGACGCTTATTTTCATGGAAAAAATAATATAGTGGTGAGTTAAGAAGGAGTCAACCGGGACAACAGGAGAAGACAGTAGAAGTCAAGGCAACATCACCGAGATGCGACCCACCAGACTCCCGAGTCCACCGACAAGTTGGCGACCAAGCGATAGCCATCAATAGCAACCTCGAAGATCACCGCTAAGGTTGCAAAACGGAAAAGAGTTTGCAGCATTTGGAAGTGATGCTTGACTCTGCAGAGGAAAATGCTAATATATTAAGAAACCATTTTACTATCCTGGGAAGAGCTTCAAATGCCGGGAAGACCCTTTTCGAAATCTACAAGTTGCGTATTTGGAAAGGAAACAGACAGTAACGACTTTATTTCCTCCAAATTTAAATGCTTACGTAACTAGCCTTTGAAAATCGATAACGTTGTAGACAACCTAATTTCAAGTGGAAGATTGCTCCAAATAAAAGCATATTTGGAGGTAAAAAAAAAAGCGAGAACGGTTAGATCCGGAGCTATGGGGTGA